GCGGCTTCTCTGCAGTGCTGGTGGCCCTGGTGAGGGAACACAGGGCAGGGAGTGGGGGAGGTCTCAGCACCCCACAGCTTTCCACTGCATCGAGACCTCAGCCGTGCTGGGCTTGGGGGCCTCGGCATCAGGGGAAAGTCGGGTCTTAGTGCTGGCTGCTCCGTGGGCCCACAGTGCCTGCTTCCCTTTCGCCTGTGAAAATCCCAGGGCTCAAATTCCAGATCACCCGTCTTCTGGATGAAAAGCCAGGCAACAGCATGCCTCTAGTCTCTGTTTCTTGCAGCGTGAAATGGGAATAGCAGTAGCATTCGCCTCCAGGGTTCTTGGGAGGATGGAAATGGCTGGAGATGCAGGCATCTCTCCCAGTACTGCCTGGCACATCGTGAACACCAGCCTTGGCGGCCTTTATCCCTGCTGCCTCTGCCCTCCTCCCCGGTGCCTCCCCTGGCGCCCCGCTTGATGGCTGGCAAGGGCGTGGGCCGTCCGAGCCCGGTTCTGGGGCACAGGAATAGAGGGAGCCATCCATTTGTCTGTCTTTTTCTTGGCGGGGAGGGGTGGTGGTTCAAATTAAATTTCAGTTTTATCCTTTGTAGTTTTCTACACAATAAATCATCACGTTTCTACATAGGGTGACACGCTTTTGTGAGAAAGGCTTGTGTTTTGGCTCGCGTGGATGGCGGATACTCAGCCCCTTACGCCTGTTCTTCTCGTCCTGCTCCTCAGCTCTGGGTCACCTTGGATCTGGATAGGGTTTCAAACCGGCAGAAATAATGACAGGGATGATGCAAAGCGCTGTGCACCCACATTCACCAGTGGTCAACTCACTCTCCCACATGCGTGTGCACACACATGCCTACACACATCCATACATGCACATACTTTTTCCCGAGCCATTTCACAATAAGTTGCAGATGTGCCCTTTTATCCCTAAATACCTTCAAACCCAGGATATTGAGCACTGCTACAATTGTCTTATCTAATCCACAGGCCACACACCATTTCACCGGTTGTCCCAGTAATGTCCTTGGGGATTTTCCTGCTTCCAGATCACCGCTGTACTTAGTGGCCATGGCTCCTTATCCTGGAACAGCTCCTCAGCTGTTCTTGACCTTGACATTTTTGAAGAGTCCAGGCCAGTTGTTTTGTAGAATGTCTCTCAGTTGGAGGTGGGTTCTTCATCTCGAAAGCTCACCCTGTGCCTCTTGTTTTCTTATGTGTCCTGTGATCCTCGGTGCTCCAGTGTGGCTGGTGGCCACACCCACATTTTGCATGGGAGCACACTAAGGCACAAGGAGGTCAAACGGTTGGTCTCTCTGTGGTCACATTCCCAGGCAATGGCAGAGCTGGGGTTCAAACCCAGTATTATCTAATCTGCTTGCCCCTCAGTAGGAATAACGGCAGCAAGTAGCCCCCGAGAATCACAAAGTACGGATCAGGCACTCCCTGTGAGCCAGGCATTGTGCCAATAAGCAAGCGTCCTCACCCCGCTCCTGGAAGGTAGCTGCTCAGACCAGCCGTGCCGCACGGATGACGATCAGAGAGGTTGAATGGGCTGCCCAGGGTGCACAGCTGCCAACTGGCAGGGACTAGCCCTGTCCTGGGCAATGTGTGTGCTGAGTCTGCACATGTTACCTGTGCACTTGAGTTTGCTGGATCCCCTAGTCAGGCAAGCGTGTGAGCCGGGCTTTGCTGACCCTCCTGTGTGTTTGTCCTTTCCCAGGGCTTTCTCAGGGGGAATGAACACATTTCAAGGCTGGCGCTCCTCTGGGGGTCTTCCTGGTGGTCCAGTCTGCCCTCTGCCCCTGGGCATGCGCCTCCATCCAATCCACCTCCGTGGTCTGTTTGCAGCAAGCAATTGGCATTTTAATGACTGTCAGGTCAGGAATCCCCTGTGGCCATTCATTTGATGGTGGGCTCCCTCTCTTCTGCCCAGCAGCCCAGGGCCCCTGCCTGTGGGTGGCTGGTCCTGGCTGCCGGCTGTGCCCAATTGGCCCCACCGCCTATGCAGCATTTAGGTGGCATTCAAAGCCACTGCCCTGGGGATGAGGCGGCCTTGCTTGCTGCAGAGCTGGTGATTAATTATTCAATCTGTCCGTCACATTCTGTGCCCTGTCTTTCGGGTCGTGGAGAGGAGTCGCTGCTCTGAGATGTGACACACTGGGAATTCTCTGGCAGAACGAGGAAGATCCCTGAGCATGATGGCCAAGGATGCCCGTGTCTGGGCCCCCATCTGTCTCTCACCTCCGGGGACCCTGGTGGTCCGGGGTCTACCTGTCGCAGGCACTCTGGCTCCTCACTCATCAGAACGCAGTGCTGGGAAGTGCCGTCAGCATCCTGAGAGAGCCCGTGGTCCCCTGGTTCAGGTGCAAGGGCAGGGTGTGTGTGTCAACCACCGAACAGCGACTGTCCTGTCCTTGGGACAGCATGTCAGGCAGGAGGACCTAGGAGCTGCAGCCACCTCACCTTCAGGCTCAGGCATGGACATGTGCTGTGTGGCTGCCCGCACCCGGCTCCCTCCTCTGCTGGGCTGGCCAGGTCCTGAGGAGCTAGTCCTGTCTGTGCTAGGCCAGCCTCCTTCTCCCCTGGCTTGGCTCTGCGGGCGGGAAGTGAGCCTGCTGCTGCCAGGCTCGGCGCATTGAAGTGCGGCTGCGACTGCTGCGCTCTGACCATCCTGGCCGGCCCAGAACTGCCCACCCCCCGCCATGCTCCCCCCCACCAAACCCCCTGCACTTAGGCAGCGAGCCTCTGGCTGGGCCCACTGCTGGGAGGGACTTAGAAATTTTACTTCCCTCATTTCCATGCAACATCGCTCCATAGTTTAAAACATTAATTAAAAACATTAATCAGTTTGGCTGCCTCAGAAGGAGGTTCTTTTTTGGCAACAGCTGACTTTACAAGGAGGAGGGGTGAGCTCGCAAGCCAGTGTTTCAGCCGTGTATTTGTTTGGTGTCGGGCAGCCGCTGCAGCCCCTCTGAGCTTTAGTTTCTGCGTTTGTAACGTGGGGTTGAAGCTTCTCCTCTGGCCAGACCTACTGGGGTCACAGTGGGTGCTCAGCGAAGTCCCTGAGGATATTCCTCAGCAAAGCGTCCTGTATGGAGGACCATGGCGCTGTTGTTAGGATTCGTTACGTTTCTCTAGCCCTTACAGCGTATAGAGCACAGCTTGCATGCACGATCTCACAGGGCATGCCTGGGAGATGGTAAGGGGGTCATGTCAGGCCTAGAGCTGAGACCCTTGGACTCGAACTCCAGGCTTTTCTGTCCATTCTCATCGGCTTCACTTGCTCCCTGTGCCCGTGTACTGAGCCCCTCTGCTGCCTGAGTCATCGTGGGGAGAAAGGTAGAGGCGAGCCCTTATTGCCTGCCTTATTGGGAGGAGACTAAGAAGTTAAGGCCCCGCACTTGCTTAAGTGGTCTGTCTACGTAATCACCCATGTTTCTAAGTGTTCATGAGCCAGGCTGCATGCTCAGCCCTGCAGAGGTTCTTGCTTTAAGAACAAACCTTGAAGATGAGAAACTGAGGCTCAGGAAGTAGCTTGCTCAGGCTCCAAAAAAAGACGTTTTCAGTAGATCTGTGGTGCTAACTCAGGAAGCCTGACAAAGAGTCCCCAGTCAACTGGGAGGCTGGGCGGCCGCCCTTTGGGGTAATAAAGCCAATGCATTTTGACAATAAGGAACAAGCACCTCTCCTTCCCAGGCAAAGTGCCCAAGAAGCATGGGAGGCTGGGTGTGCGGAGGAGGGCATCTTTCTGAGCATGCTGTCAGCCAAGGGGACTTCTCCGAGTGAGGGGGAATCCGCCCTCTCTCCTGCTGGGAACTGGTCCTCGGAAGGAAGGAGGAGCACTGGATGGATGGATCCAACTAACAGTGCTTGAAGGGAGGAACTGTGGTCGGACCCCTGTGACACTGACACGTCCAAGGGAGGCACAGGACAACCAGACAGCCTCAGAGAAGCAAATTATGGCCAGCTTTTCCTGGAGGAGAGAGGGGATTGATGGTGGGGAATTCAAGCCACCTGGCCCCTGTCCTTGGGGCAAGGGCAAGGATTTCCCCCTAGCTGTTTCCAGAATTGAGGGCAGATTCCCCTTCAGAACTGATCAGTCTTCTTTCTTCTGAGTCTGTGTTCACGGAGTTCCATCTTCTTAATGATTTGGCTTCCAAGATCCGGTGGGGTTTGTGGGGGGAGGGAGGCCTGGAAGGATCACTCCGTTGTGAGGTGGTAGTGTGAAATTCTGGGGTGCCACTGCATCCCTTGAAGGAGAGGCAGTCGGTGTCTGAGCTCGCCCCTCTGAGCATTGGTCCTGCTCTGGGGTATCTCAGGTGGTCCTCCCAGAACTTGTAAGACCAGGGGTGGCCCTCTCACCCCGTTCCCCACACTGCCTTACCCCTTCTGGCCACCTCATTAGCTGCCTCGACGATCGGTTAGGATAAGAATCCCTGGTGACTTTTTGAGGGGGGGCGGCCCCTGAGTAATTCATGATTTTCACTTGATTGTGTGTTACGGGATGACAGTGCAGGGCACAAATACAAATTGCAGGGAAGTTAAGCTGCTGCAGCTCCCAGGGTTTACACAATCCCCACGCCTTAGGCACCAGGGACCAGCCATTCTCAGAACGAAGTGATTAGGAAGGTGTCTCATTGCCCTCTAGCCAGAATTCCTGGAATCTGACGCATGCACGCAAGCTTTGGTGGGGAAGGGGAAGGGGATAGATGGGTGAGGGTTTGGGAGTCAGAAGGTCTGACCATCCTGTCTGGCCTAGCCTCTTATTTGATTCCTGAAACATGGAGAGCTATCAAAACCAATCTCATAGGATTGCATGGCCTCATGCATTTAAATAGCTATCACAGTCCCAGACACATCATAGTTGCTCAGTAAATGCCTGCTCTTTGCTGCTTGTCATTTAGCACATAGTAAATAGGTACTTACTATTTAAATTAGTGGAATCTCCCTTGTGGGCATTGATACTAATAATTCTCTGTCCTTTTCTTACATATTTCCAGAATCCTGTTACCTGGAATGTAGGTGCCTTTAATCTGGGGAAAAAAAGAAAAACCCAACACGTGTCCATTCAACACTCCGGAGGGATGTGAGAACTGGCCTTCCCTGAACTGAAATTGTAATGCCTTGAGATCTGGACAATTCAGGTAAGGGGATTTTTCCTTTTAAGCCTTAGGGGACTAAAAATGGCTTTTGGAACTGGCGATCTCGCGCAACACACCTGGGGTTGCGGTTCTTCACATCTCCGCTGGGCTTCCTTGGCTGGTCCACGGTGCTCGGGACCTCGGCTTCCTGTCACCTCATCCTGACACGCCTGGTTGGGCTCTTCAGCCATTCGTGTCTTGTGCCTCTGGAGCTCTGTCTCCTTCTGTCCAGCCAGGGGAGTCCCCCATTCCTGTCCTCCTGGCCGGGTAGGGTGCCCCAGCTGTCCTGTTACGGCTGGTGGAGGCTGGACCGCGGAGACATGGGAGAGTGCTCCGGGGGTTAGTGATTAGGTCAGGATGCCTTTGGGGGCATCTAGAAGGTGATCGGTTCCTCCCTCCCCACCTTCCGGAACAGCTGGTGGCTCCAGGCCCAGAGGTCTGAGGCTGCCGGAGGCGGAGGCTGAGGCAGAAAGGCGGAGGGCTCCAGGCAGCCTCAGCTTCTTCTGGCTTGGCTACCTGCTTCCCCTTAGGCCAGTCGCTCAGCGTCTCCAAGCCTCGGTGTCCTCATTCGTGAAATAGGGACCTTATTAGCGCCTGCCTCAGGAGGATGTTGTGGGTATCACAAGAGACAGTGGAGATAAGGAGCTCAGCGTGGTGCTTGGCAGCGAGGAGGAAATGCACCAAAATGAGAGGGTTTTTTTCTCTTTCTTTCTTTTTTAATTCATTGATTATACCTTTTAGAGGTCCTAACGTGCAGCAGGGTATTTTGAAGTCCTCGGTCTGCTCTTCTCTCTGCCTTTCACCTGCCGCCACATCGGCTTGGCCAAAGCCTGTGAATCACGTTGCATGTGGTGTGCGGACCCTCACTCTGAGCACGGTCGCTTTCTCCCTCCTCCCGGCTGCAGCCAGGGATTTCGGGCCTGCTCCAGGTGGTTGCTTTCCTCTCCCCTGCCTGCGCCCCCGTGGCTGGTGAGCTTGTTCCAGCCAGGACTCTCTCACAGGGGTGCACACCCCAGGGTTGGGCCTCCCGTTGTGCACAATGAAAGAACAAATGAATGAGTCATGGGAAAGGAGGGAATAGACAGGGAAAGAGAGTGCTTGGAGAGAGAACGGAAAGAAGGGCGTTTCGGAAGATTTAGAGTAGTGGATGAGGCCAGTCGCGATTCTTTTTAAGGAGATGGTGAGAAGACTAAAGAGCGTGAAAAAAGGAGAATGATGCCTCCCACAAATTTGAAAATGATGCACGGACAGAAACGTGGGGGAGGAAGGTGGACTGGTGAGAAGGAAGCCAGGGACGGCGGAACCGGGAGGGGAGCAGAGAACTGGGCTCATGGGGTGGGTGTTCGTGTCATCTCAGGGCACACAGGGGTGGAGAGCGTGAGACCGCGCCCTTCAGACGAGGTCAGGGGCCTGGTGCACACACAGTACACCCCAAGCTCACCAGGTGTGTGGGAGGCCTGGGTGCAGCCCCTTCAGACCCTTGGGAGATGCATGCGAATAAACCCTGCTAGGAGCTGAGCAGTTTAGCAATTACGAAGCCTTTCTAGCCTTCTCTACACCTCTGTGCACGCATTCCCCAATCCCGTACGTTTCAGTATCTGATTTCCCGCTTCTGGTGTCAGAACGCTTCCGCAGTGAACAGCTGACAGGACTTCCTGTGCACAGGCTGCGCACACCCTTTTTTGGCCTTGAGACACTCAGCGGGTCCTGAAGCCCATGCTCCCAACCTGGACAGTGGGCTTTGGGAGCCGGAGCAGATGCAGACCTACAACAGCCCGGGATCACCACTGCCTGTAGCACCAGGAAGGCTGGCATAGCTGTTCCCACTGGGGAGAAAGGGCAGATGGGACCATAGTCACTGCGGCAGAGGATCTGAAAGCTTCAAGAGCTGTCTCTGGATGCTGTGGCCGCAGAAGTGGGCAGGGTGACCTGCATTCTGTGAACGGAGGAGAGACTTGGCCGGTCTGTCTGAGGATGACGGGAGAGGAATGTCCCTAGAATTCAGCTGTGGTAGCAGGCGGAGCAGGGGCAGGGCCTGGGATTCAGAGCTGCACAGTCCAGAGCACTTCTGGGGCAAGGCCGGTCTGTGACGAGGGCTGTGACACTGAGCCAAGCATTTGTCCTTGTGCCTGTGGCTCTTCTTGTCTGAAGGGCATGGCTCTCCCATTGGGAGCCTGTCCCCCTGCATCTCTGCCCAGAAATCAGCTCACCTGGGCTGCACGCCAATAGCAGGGCGCCTGCACCTTTCTCGTGCATGAGCCTGGGCCATTTGACACCCCCCGCTATGGAGCAGAGGTACTGGTAACCTGGATTCCACTCCAGCACCACTTCCCACTCCCCCGTGACCCCGGGCAAGTCCTTTACTGCTTTCCAAGCTCTCTTTTCTCAGCTGCAGAATGGACCGGTCTCCCCTCTTCCACCTGCTTACCTGTCTGGGTCCCAGCCTTCTCAGTGTTACTCTATCATCCAGGGCCCTCCTTGGATGGGCACAGGAGGTTGACTTCTTCCCCTTGACCCCCACCTTGCTCTTCGACCCTTCTCCTGACCCTGCCTCCCCTGGGAGCATGTCTTGGCTCCTGTGTAGCTGCCCCTCTGGCCCTTGGTCAGAGGGTGTCTGACGCCTTCTGCCAGCTGGGGCCAGGGGCCAGCCCTGGTCTTTAGCCACAGGTACGTGCGTAAAGGTTGCTTCCTATATTCAGCGTCCTTGACACAAAAAATCCTGCAGCCCACTCAGAGCTCTGCACTTGAAGCGGAAATGTCTCTTTAATACACCTCTAGTATTGGCTCATTTTGTTATTGCTCCTTTTTGTGGTTTCATATTGAGGTTTTGGGCTCATTGCATTTGACTGGGAGTTTATTTTTAGCAGCGTAGGCAGCATAATTAATGTCTACACATGAGAGCAATTGCAGAGAAATATGTAAGTCTAGAGGAAAGTGTGCCTAATTTTGTTTCTTCTGATAAAATCGGTCACACCAGAGGACACTGAGCTTCCTCAGCAGTGCTTACCATGAGCTCATGCAGAGCAGGGGGCGGTGGCCGAGTCACCACCGAATACGAAACCGTTGCTGGGTTTCTTCCTGTCCCACTTGTCCAGCAGCTGGCCACACAATGAATGAGGGCCACTGTTGTTATGACTGAAGTTATTATGCTAATGTTAAAGGCTGGACTTCGGAACCTTCATCTCCCCTTATCTCCCCAGCAGGCTTCGTTCTGTTGTCAGAAGCAGCCTCTGGCTTCTCCCTGGACTGGGAATACCTTGAGGGAAGGCTCTGGGTCTTGTTCTGGCCCTCGCCCCAGTGTTGGGCACCATGACGGGCGCCCAGGACGAGCTCAGGCCAGGCGTTCTTGGACTGACTGAACTGTAGGGCCCCGAGTTCGGGCTAGCAAGGCAGAGACATTCAGAAAGAACTTCAAGCCTCCGTCTGCTTTGGGAGAAACATAGACCCACTGCCTACTGAGCACTTTAAGTTTATAAAGTTCTTTCTTTCTCGTTCTTTCTTTTTTCTTGTAGTTCATGACTGTATTCCAGCTGCCATGTACCACGGTGTGCAGCCGCTGGAATACAGCAGAGAAAAGTCCCCATTCTTGCTCCGGAGAAAATCCCGAGACAAACTGGCTTTATGGCTCCCTGTTTCTATGTGTCGCGTGTGTGTGTGTGTGTCTCCTGCAAATTCATAGGCTGAAACCTGGTCCCCAATGTGACGGTACTAGGAGGTGGAGCCTTTGGGAGGTGACTAGGTCAAGGTCATGAGGGTAGAGCCCCCATGACGGGATTAATGACTTTATAAGAAGAGACACCAGAGAGCAGCTTCTCTCCGGTCTCCACCATCAGAGGCCATAGGAGACGGCTTTCTGCAAACCAGGAACTGACTCTGCTGGCACCATGACCTGGTACTTCCAGCCTCCAGAACGGAGGGAAATAAGCTGCTGCTGTTGAAGCTGCCCAGTCTCTGATATCTCCTTCTAGCGGCCTGAGCTAAGACACCGCACTTCACAGATGAGTGGATTGGACACTCAGAGCGGTGGCATTGATGAGACCTCGCTGCTAGCCGGTGATCCGGGCACCCAGACTTGCACCCGCCTCACCCTTATCACAGACACATCTGGACTCTCGCTCCTCGCTCCTCCTCACTGTTCCATCCGTCTCTCTCCCTCTCCTCTCTTCTTTTTTCTCTGTTACCTCCCTTTCCTCTCTCCCAATTCTGTTTGTTTTTTTCTGAGGATGAGGATCTGCCTGTCTCCAGTGCCTCCTCGGGGAACGGATCTGCTGATAATGGGCCGTGCTGCCCGCCTGGCTTGGGGTCTGCCTCCCCCCGCCCACCTCCCCAGCTCCGGCGGGCTGATGGGCGGACGACTGGCATGCGGTGGCAGTTCCCTTCCTCCCTGTCCGCTGCCACTTCCCCACTCTGAGCCAGGTGCCGTGCCCGCTGTGGGGAGACAGCAGAGCAGATGCGGGGGGAGACCGTGTATTCAAACAACTGTGTTTGCACAGTGTTGCAGACTGAATGTTTGTGCCCCGCCATCTCCCATCCCAGATTCACATGTGGAGTCCCTAACACAAGGGTAGGGCCCCGATCTAACTGACAGCACTAGTGGTCATCCTTGTAAGAAGAGACACCACAGAGCAACCTCTTTCTCTCTCTCTCTCTCTGTCTCTCTCTCTCTCTCTCTCTCTCCCCCCCATCCTCTCTGTGCCATGTGAGGACACAGCAAGAGAGTGTCTGTCTGCAAACCAGGAAGAGAGCTCTCACTGGAAACTTCATCAGCTGGAACTTGATCTAGCCTCCAGAACTGTGGGAAAATAGATGTCTGCTGCGTGAGCTGTGCAGCCTCTGATATTTTGCTCTGTAGCCCGAGCCCACAAACACAGAGGGTGCATGGTGCAGGCCACGTGGGGCAGTTTGATGGCCTTGGCCCCAAAGCCGCTCTTTGAGTGTGAGTGTCGACTGATACTTTTAACCTTCACCACCCCATCTTTAAAACAAGGCGCTTGAATCGAGTA